TGTTTTATTAAATGTTCTATTTTTGTGTTAAATATATAAAAATATAATTTTTTATAAAATAATATCAATTATGATGATAGGACATTAAACTAAGCTTCTTCATTATCATGTTACTCATCATACATGCTACTCATTATACATGCCCTTAGAACTAAAATGGAGTTGGGGACTAAAAATGTACCACAAAAAGTTGAGGACCAATCCGATATCAAATGAGAAAGTTGAGCAACCGAATACGTAAGTATACCATTGAAAGGACTCGACGATCCTACAGAGTCTCCTCTTCCAACTCCGATTCAGTCTCTTCCACCTTTTATATCGCAAATCCCACAACTCTGTCCATCTTCTTCCCTTCCTGATCAGCTTCGAAAATGTCCTTTCTCCTTCCCAAACGCACTCCTCTCCCATCCAACACTTCTTTCCACCTTCTGCTTTTCCGCCCTCCAACACCCTTCTCAACCTCCACTGCCAATTCCAGCACAGCACCGCCACAAGAGACAGCCGCTGCCGCCATCTCTAACCTTGTTCTTACCTCCACCGACCGGGACACCTTGTTTCAAGTCCTCTTCTCTCCTTCCATCACCTGGACCCCTCACCTCGTAGATACCATCATCAAGCGCCTCTGGAACCACGGTCCCAAGGCCCTCCAGTTCTTCCACATCCTCCTCCATCATCCCGTTTACCGCCACTCCTCATCCTCCTTTGACCACGCAATCGACATTGCCGCCCGCCTCCGCGATTACAAAATCGTCTCGTCTCTTCTACACCGGCTACGATCCATCCGTCTGGGCCCCTCTCCAAGGACCTTCGCAATCGTGACTGAAAGGTACGTCGCCGCTGGAAAACCCGATAAAGCTGTTAATTTGTTCCTGTCAATGCATAAGCATGGCTGTTTTCAGGATTTGCATTCTTTTAATACAATCCTTGATGTTCTCTGCAAAGCAAGACGTGTAGAAAAGGCATATAGTTTGTTTAAGGCTCTAAGAGGGAAGTTTAAGGCTGATGTTGTGAGTTATAATATAATTGCAAATGGTTGGTGTTTGATTAAGAGAACACCGAAGGCACTGGAAGTGTTGAAGGAGATGGTGGAGAGGGGATTGAGTCCTAATTTGACTACTTATAATATAATTCTCAAAGGGTATTTTAGGACTGGTCAGATTAAGGAAGCTTGGGAGTTCTATTTAGAGATGAAGAAGAGGAAGTGTGAGATGGATGTTGTTACTTACACCACAATGGTTCATGGGTTTGGTGTTGTAGGGGAAATTAAGAGGGCTCGAAATGTGTTTGATAGTATGGTCAAGGAAGGGGTGCTTCCTTCTGTTCCAACTTATAATGCTTTGATTCAGGTGTTGTGTAAGAAGGATAGTGTGCAAAATGCTGTCTTGGTTTTTGAGGAGATGGCAAGTAAGGGTTATGTGCCTAATTCGATGACTTACAATGTATTGATTAGGGGATTGTGTCATGCTGGACAAATGAGCAGGGCAGTGGAGTTTATGGAAAGAATGAAGGATGATGAATGTCAGCCAAATGTGCAAACATACAATATTGTAATTCGATACCATTGTGATGCTGGAGAGATTGAGAAAGGGCTGGAGTTATTTGAGAAGATGGGTAGTGGGGAATGCTTGCCAAATTTGGATACCTACAATATTTTGATAAGCGCAATGTTTGTGAGGAAGAAATCAGATGATTTATCAACAGCTGGGAAACTGTTGATTGAGATGGTTGGTAGAGGATTTATGCCTCGAAGGTTAACCTTCAACCGGGTTATGGATGGGCTTTTGCTAACAGGTAATCAAGATTTTGCAAAACAGATTTTAAGATTGCAGAGTAGATGTGGCTGCCTTCCTCGCCAGTTCAAATTGTGAAACCTATTTGTATGTGTTGGCCAATGAACCATGTGAGCTTCATTCCCATTTTTAAGACTTCTTGCCTCAATATAACCTTCAAGCAGCTTCGAATGGGCTTTTACTAATGAATAATTACAGGATTTTCCAAAAGTGATTTGGACTGCAAAGGCAATATCAAATCTTAATGGAGAAAGGTGGTGATGTTCCTTGATTGTAGAATAGATGCTAAACTGACTTTAGGGTATAAGAGATTAAGAATTGGGCACCCATGGATGACATTCTTATTCTTGTACCCTCTAAAGTCTCTGGGGAGCTGCAGTTCCAGTTTCCATTTGAGGAGAAAAGGAAGTTTGAAGGACGCCGTGGGCATTCATTACATGTCATGGTATCTATGCTGATAAAGCCATAAAGAGTTATCCAAATAGATGACAATTACGTGTGAAAGAAATGAGTAGCACCTATGTCAATTGAGTTATCCACATTTTGAAACAGCATATGAGTTGAAACATATATGAGTTCATGATTTATTTTGGCCAGGATGATGGTTTTAAAAGATGATCTGATATGATTGAATTGAGGTTTGTTTTTCAAGTGATATTATAGTAGTTACCACTGAAGATGTGGAACTTGAAGTGGATAAAGCTATTGGGCATCCGCTTCCAGTGCAGTCCGTGCCAACTATTTGTGTGCCATAGCTGCTAAGGTAATAAATTTGATAGAAGATGATTCAATGTGATTAGGTGGTTTTTGGAGTTAAAAATCATGTTTCTGTGTTTGGTATGCTGTTTCCAAACGTCTATTTACTTTTTTTTACACCTTTGGCATTTGGATATTTAAGTGGTTCTAACATTAAGTTGAACCTGTGCAGAAGAAGTAGCAACATCTTGTTAAGTGGCTGTTGTTTGTAAGCATGCTGTTAAAAAGAGAGTTTAATAATTTTGTTGTGCCTTGATTCTTGTTGTGCAACAGATTATATTGATTTGTAGAAAAGAAGACCGGCTAAAATGTGTATGCGTTGGGTATCACTTGTACCCCACTTTAATAAAAAAAAATTTTGCTGATAAAAAAAAATTAAGTTGAACTTGGGGGCCAAAAATGCAAAGGCCACTGACCACTGTCCTTTCCCTTACTAAAAGAAAAAAAATCTGGTTCTAATGGCGAAAAAGGATAGGAACAGTCCACGGTCCACAGTCAAAGGTGGACTAATTGTGACTAATTCCACATGTACTGTTTTTAAAGTGATAATCGTGACCTATTGAAGTTGTTTACACTTAAATTTCAATAGAAGCGGTCAAATCTACATTGTTAGGCATGGTTCACTTGAGCCAACTCCAGTAAGCTGCTCAAACTTCTTAATTTCCTAATAAAGGTCATTGAACTTTAATAGTTAAATTAATGCCATTGAAACAGTATGTCAACGCAATTCAAATTTGAAATGCAATAAGTGAATTCACTTTGGATTACAGAAAAGCAGAAGCCAAACTAGTAAGATTACCATCAATGTTAAATTCATATTAGAAAGCAAAAGAAAGAAAATGTTACAAATTGATATACTACTTCCAGCAGATCATTTACTGCAACAGAGAAGCACTACACGACATAATTATAAAATGATTCAGAAGTGCTTTGCTTCCTCAAGAATGTTGTGTACCTTAGGACCAAGCACAAGAAATTTGAGCAGTCAATTGAGTCTTGCAAAATGCTGGGATAACAACTTTTCAAAGTCTCAAGATACCAACTTCTTCTATCGGTTGACATCAGCCTTTAGCTTCTAATCACAATGCATCTGTGTCTTGTATGGTCTTGTTCTTGGGGATTCTTCAGAAAAAGAAATGCTTATCTTAGAAAATTAGTAATGCGTATGGGCTATGTTTTGTCTTGATAATACTCAGCACTTCAACTATCATATATAATCTCCCGTGCAAGATTTATACACAATATAACATTTTTTAGACACCATAAGAAAGAGAAGGACATGCTTCAGAAACAACATATATAAAATAGATTCCAGTGCGGCAGTGTCTCCATGTATCATAAAGGATAGCAACTTTCCAAATCTCTGGAAACCAACTTATTTTCCCATTAAAAAGAGCCTTCAGCTTCTAATCATAAAGGATCTCTCTCTTGCATAGTTTTCAGTCTTGTACTCTGGATTCTGCAAAGGAATAAATGTGATTTAGCAAATAATAATGTGTGCGCAATATTTCTTTTTGGTTATACAAATACTTCAGCTGTCATATAATCTCCTGAGCAAAATTTAAACAAAATCAAACTAAAAAATCAACGTTTCCTTTTACTTGGTTTCATTCAGCCTTGTATTGTTGACAGAAGTTTATAAATACCAAATTTATCATAAGAGTCCTGATTAGGAAAAATGGAACATCGTTTATACATCCAGAAAAATTAGAAGGGCGGCGCACTTCAAAAACATTATAAACAAATTAAGCTTTCTAACGTTAAGCTTCTTGAAATTCTTAAAATGTATATTAGAAAAAAAATAATTTAGGAATTCGCAACTTGAAATGCAGCATGAGTCTTCCTTCCAACTTGAAACTCTCGCAGCAGGGCATGCTTGAGCGTGAGACAATCAGATTACAAGCTCATTATTATCTTTACCTATTCTATATATTTTAACTTTAATTAAAAAAAAAATTTCTTCAAAATGAAAGATAGAAACATACATCATCCTTGCAGCTACATATTCCTCCTTTTATATAACTTCAATAGTTTATAAATTTGAAGGGATGTCTGCCTACCACAAAGCACAAAAGTCATCAATGTACAGAGGAAATCTGTGTCCTTCTGCTGTTGCTCGACCACCTTAAAAAAAAAAAAATTAATACATTAATTAGTAAAAGGCAAGTTCGACGAACATGGTAATAAGCTAATAAATTCCTAAATTAATTCTGAGAAGGGCGTTGTTGTACCTAATTTCAATCTATCTTGACACAGGGGATGTGGGCTATGAGGCGCCGATAGTCTTGCTTCTCCTTTAACCGTTGTGCTAGCCGTGGACAGTTGTGGATCCGGAGACGCCCAAGCGAGGAAGGCAGACCTTCCTTCGGTAAGAACTGGAGCTCCGAACAGTCATCAATGTATAGTTCTTGAAGAGAGTTGAGGTTTTGGAGGAGCTCTCTAGATAGCGATCTCAGATTTTTTACCTGATATATCCAAAAAATGATTAGAGATGGAGGAAGCAAATCACCTGGAGGGCATATCCAACCTATATGGAACCTTTCAAGAGAGGTAAGCCTGTGGAGCCCCCATTCTTTCATTGGCTGTTTCAAATTCTCACAAGTAATGGAAAGGGATGTTAGGCTTGTGGGAAAACCACCTTCTGGAATGGACTCGATCCTCTGGCACCAGAATATACTTAATGATTGGAGAGATGTAAGGTTGTGCATTCTATTGGGCAGGGACCTGAGATTCTTACAATCAGAAATACTCAGAAATTTAAGATTAGGCATGCCCAGACCACTTTCTGGGAATGACTCCAAACCTTCAACTCGATTTATATAAAAATAAGTGAGAGTGCTGAGGCTAGACATGTGATCCAAAGGAAGCAAGCCGCTTGGAAATAAATTCCGAGTTGCAATCTCCCCTAGAGATAATTCTTCAAGCTGCAGCATGTTATCTCCATTATTATCATCCATCAATCCCTCCGGTAGAGATTCTAGATTTTCACACCACCGAATTTTCAAATTTTTAAGTGTGGCAGGCAATTGACCACTTAGAAACAATTTGAAATCAGGACAATCCCAAATAGATAATTGTACAAGACTTTTGAGTTCCACTGTCACTGACGTAAGCAGAGGACACCTTCTGATTGACAACCGCCTAAGATGTGCAAGGTTTGCAATATTTGCTCCTTCCTCCCACAAACAAGTAAGTTCCTCACAACTATCGATACACATTTCTTCAAGTACTATCATTAACTCTAAAAACTTCTTAGGCAAAAAAGCCAGACTCGAAATTTTGAAAATTTCCAAGCAGGTAAGGGAAGTGAGATCAACTATACTCCTCAAAACTACCTCACTACATTCTTTAATAGACAAATTTTGAAGTGAGGGAAGGCTCACCGGTGAGTACGTTAACTGTGGGCATCTTACAATCAAAAGCTCTTTAAGAGATGGAAGTTCTTTTGGTAATTTTCCCAACAAGCAACAGTCCTCCAACACCAGCTTCTCTAATGATAGAAAACAATCACCGAAGGAAAATTTGTCACTATCCCCAGTCAGAGTTGCAGCCTTGCTTCCTTTAATGATCAATTCTTTGAGCTGGGGTAATTGCCCAAGTGATGGTAATGATGTACAATTTTGACAATCACGAAGCTCCAAGAACTTTAACTGTGAAAAGGATGGATCACCTATCCAGGACGGGAATTCTTCCCCACCGTAGCAATTGATCGTCAACCTTTCCAATCTTTGACCAGGTTTTAAGCATTCAAGGGTTTGGAAGTCTTTCACTTTACTCAGCGAAGCAGAACAAACAGAAGCCCACTCCAAGGATAAATCATCCAATTTCATGTTATACAGCTTGACATCCTTGGCATCTTCGATATCTAAAAGATTATGGAGATTTGAAATGGAAAGTCGACCTTGAAGGCCTGTCAAGTTCTTCAATTCTTTCAATCTTAATCCAGAATCAGCTTTCCCCAGAATAAACTTGGGCAGTAACACAAGACTTTTCAATTTAGCTACCTCCAACGGAATCTCGGTTAGAGACGGTGTATTAGTAATGTCGAGATAATGGAGGTCAATTAGATTCCCAATTGTTGCAGGTAACCTGGTAAGCCCTCCACAGCCATGCAATATCAATGTTTGTAAGAAAAGCAAGGAACCCACTGACTCAGGCAAACTTTGAATTGATGAATAAGACAGGTCAATGAATCGTAGATGCTTCAAATCTCCGATTGAATTTGGTAGCTCCTGTACCCCACCAAGAGATAACACCCTTAAGCACATCAATTGTGGCAATATACCAACTACAACTTCTTTCGCCATGTAGTGATATGGATTGTAACCTTTCAACCGAAGGAGTGTCCGCAGAGTTTTCTTTTTGTTCAAGACTTCAAATCTTTTCAATACATTATATTGGCAAGGAGTAAATGACAAATGGCGAGCCTTATTATCACCCAAGCTCAGTTGATCAAGACTGCAGCATATTTCTCCAGCAACTTCTTGAGCTAAATCACTTATGAAATCATGCATCATAAACTGTGATCTATCTCTGATTGATGGTTGAAAAATTGATCTTGATAATAAATCATTAAAACATTGATGGCCACGATCATGCATTTGCTGCATTCCTTGTGATGGTTGTTGCAAAAAACCTTGTGCCATCCATAACAAAACTAACTCATTTTTGTCAAATTCATAGTCCTTAGGAAATATTGCACAAAAGCTGAAGCATGCCTTCAAGTGAGGAGGAAGACGGTTGTAGCTCAATTTCAGAACTGCAGAAATGCCACCTTGGCCCTCGGGTAGATTGCACAACTCACGGTTTAACACATCTTCCCACTCCTGCTGATACGGTTTACCACGCAAGAGGCCACCAAGGACTTTCACAGCTAAAGGCAATCCTTTACATTTTTCTACAATTTCCCTGCCAACTCCTTCTAGTTCTGGGTGAGAATCAAAATTGTCCTTGTCTAATGCA